TAAACCTTCACTGTATTAAATAATGAGGATACGATTGATGTGTACTGTGCAATCATTTGACATCGACGTTAAATTAAACTAAACAATTATAACAGTAACTTAAGAATAAGAACGATGTCAACGCACTGACTTAATCATGTAAGTCGTACTCATCAACAGGTACTTACTGAATGTGCTAAAATAAAAAGTACAAAATTATAATCGATGTACAGTACTTGGTATAAGATTTATTACTTTCGATACAGTACAAGACGCAGGTTAACAAAACATTTTTGGTGGTACGATTTCCCTTTGTCAGGCAATACTCGCGCACTCTCTGTCATAACATACACGTATGGTCGTTACACTGTAAAAAGCCTAATTTGCATTTTGGTTTTGACAGACGCTTAAACACGCGAAAAAAGGTAACTCATAAAGGACAAAAAATAAAAAAAACAAGAAAACAAGAAACAACAACAAAAAAAAAACGTCACGGTTCTCTGCTTATCTTTAATCTTACAGAAAGCAAGAGCATCCCAATCATCTCTATGAAGGTAACTTTCTATTTACTTCACATGCATGCATGTTAATATAAAGATATAGTTTGGCAATCCCTCCTTGATTGGCTAACGTGCTCATATTCTATAAGGTCATAGACAGCCAGTAAATCGAGCGAAGCAGTAGCTCTAAAATGTAGCTACCATCATCCAATAAGAAAACTGTCAACAACTAAAATGTTCGTTTCGAGCTGGCAGCCAGCTATTTTTTAAATCTTACTTTGGCCCTTCTTCTTTGAAGTCTAAACAATCTCCAGGATCGCGGTCGAATTTGTAAACTTCGTAAGACACTGATGTTTGTTTGAATCCATTGTAGGCACTTTACTTTTGTAAGTGACTTTAAAAAGCAGCAATTTCAACAAAACTTTGAAATATACAATCACATATGTTCAGAATGAAGAACTTCTTAACCACATTTAATTCTCCTGTAGGCACAACCTCCAGCAGACAAATTTCGCAGGTGCGTCTCTAACATAAAATAGCAATTATTTAATATTATCTTGACATTTATGATAAAGAATCTTGCATGTAACTTATCTGATTTTATGTTGCTCATTTTTCTGTGAAGTTGAAGAACTTATGGCACACTTTTTTATTTATGGACGACTGTGGGAAAAATTCCTTGTTCTCACGGTCCAATAGTTGTCTGCTGTCAGTGAGAAGAAATTAAAGTGAAATCACAAGTTTTTCATTGTCTATTTTCAATGTCATAGTCACACAAAGGGGATCGGCTGGGTCAGTCAAGGCTAGGGTATAAGCTGATTCTTCTTGTTCTTCTTCTTTCTTTCTTTCTTTCTTTCTTGCATCTATTTATTATTATTATTATTTTTATAACGTCCACAGTCTTCACCCGAGGAAACTGGTGTTGGAGACATGATAATGGAAGAGAGAAGTTCTGATTACGCTTACACAAATCCTGTCCAGGTAACATATTGTTAAATTTTGATCTTGTTTTATTCATTTATATCTTTGCTTATTTATTTATTTTCTCTACTATCCACAGTCCTTTTCCGAGGAAACTGACACTGGACACATGATGATGGAAGGAGCTTCATGCCCCGAGAGACCTTGTGATTACGCTTACGCAAATCCTGTAGAAATCACACCTCCTTCTTTGATCTCGCGGAGCACAAGAACGGGGTACGTTCCCGCTGATGCCTCTGCTAATCAACAATCACCAGCATCTGTTGAAGTCAGGTCACCAGCCATTTATATTCATAAAAGTTACGAAGACACGAACAATATTAATACACAGAACAGCTTATTTACTGAAGGTAAAAACGACTGCGTTAAGGATGAATGTTATCGAATGGAAGAATATAGTGATTTCAATTGCCTCTTTTTGACTAGCAATTTTCTTTCTCTTCCTTCGTATCTAAAAATTTTCGATAGGATATCCTCGGACAATCACTAATTAATAAGTAAAACGGAATTACTCGTCATTAGTGTCACCGACCTATGTTTATGTACTAGGTAACTTGTTAAATATTCTAAAGAAAGATTTGAAAACAACAATCACATATGTTAAAAGAAAAGGACTGCTGAACTCTTAATATTTTTGCCTTGCAGGGACCATATCAAGCCCAATTTCACAGGTACACTTACTTTAATAAAAAAAAAAGTGTATAAAGAATAAAATTGCATTTATTATTATTCTAAAAATATTCATAATATTTAAAGGGATGATTGATGGTGTAAGCTTATACCTTCTAATGATGCTACATATTGAGACTAGATCGTGGGTGTAATTATGTGTAATGGGAGCAATAATATTTGAAAAGTTGAAATTCTGCTACTTTTGGAAGAATATACTCTGCCTCTAAACCATTCAGATTGGGTATTTTTTGGGCTTCTTGGAACCGACCTCAGAGACATGCCTCCCTTACCACCGTCAAGATGACGTCATATAGTTGAATTTATTAGCTGGACCTATCTTTTCCAATTACTTACACCAAGAATTGATTTGTAGTAGAAAAACGTGAAAAATTAATGGGTGAGTTATGAATTTAGCTGATACTTTGACACCATTACCAGATTCAAATTTATTCTTTTCTTGAGAAAATTTGCTTATTTAGTTACACTTCCTGATCCAAATATAACTAATGGAGCGTAACAGTTATCTTTCGTCCACAGTCTTGTCCTGAGAAACCTGAGACTGGATACATGACGATGGAAGGATCTCCTTGCCCCAGCAGTGCTTACGATTACGCTTACGCGAAAACTTCAAAACTCACTGAACGTTTATCCACTGGATACCTCGGTGACACTACGTCACGAAATCAACAACAATCACGATCTGATGAATTCAGATCATCTGCATTTTACACTGATAAAGATTGCGAGAATGCAGAAAACACCTGTGTGAAGAACAGTTCATCTTATCAAGGAGCAAACGTCGAACGTTTGCAGGTGGATTGTGGAGCTTCTCCTCTGTCATATGAAAATTTTCCCGGTAGCAGCTCGGGACATTTTTCAGAGGAGAGGATCGATCCTGACGAGTATGTTGAAATGGGAATGAGAAGAAGCGTGCGGTTTGCGGATAGTGAAGATAGATATGATCGCAGTGCCTTACCCAAGGAAAAAGGAGGCCCGTTTCTCGTGGAAATTGAGAAATTAAGATCACCAACGATATCCCCTGATAAACATAACGAGAACGTAAGTGCAAAGAATAGTTCATCTAATGAGGGTGAAAACGACGAACGTTTCAAGCTAGATTGAAAAGCTTGTGGTTTTTCTTACCAAAACTTTTCCGGCAGCAGCTCGGGCCCTTTTTTAACGGAGAGAACAGATCCTGAGGAGTATGTTGAAATGGGAAAGAAAAGAGGAGTGCATTCCAAACCCTCTACAAAGAGACGAGACACTTAGTAAAGATGAGAACCAGACATATCAACCTGGCATCGATGATCATTTCTACGCTCCCTTAAACTTTCAATAGGGGTGCAATATCTCTGGACCTGGCTGTAATCAAGATACTAATGACAGCATTTACCAAAATTATGGTTCCGTTTGTATAGAACAGCCCATCTACAGCCTTCTAGAGGAATTAACCACAGGACAACCAATGGAAAATCCTGCACAAGACAGCTTTGAACCCGTGTTCAATGTTTTAGAGGAACCAGATCAGGAACCTTCGGAAAATCCCAATTATTTTGTCAGAACAGCCAGTTTATACAGTAACACTTTACAAAGTCCTTTATATCGGGCGAAGATCCTGACTGTATAAATGAAGCAATATATAACGCATTGGAGGAGATGTCTCCACCCAATTTTGAGGCAGAGGATGAAGTGCAATTTGTCGAAATTAATTTTGTGAAGTGTAATGTGTTTAAACTGAATATTCAAATTGTTTTACACACCATAGCTACGTACTCTGTACTTTCCTAGCATTATTTACAACTGACTGGGTAGAAAAGAAGGGCCTTCAAATTGCCATGAACTCTTCGAGAACCCGGAGTCATAATGACTTGATTCAGGCGACTTTATGTCTAGAGACGTTTGAGAACTGCACCAACTATCGAAGCTTATAGCTTATGATATCCTAACTTAAGTAACCTGAAAAAAAAAACCAAGAATATTATTTGGTTACTTCCCAGCTATTCAAGATTATCTTACTCGTAATGCGTAATGTATCATAACTTTTAAAAGCAAGCAGATGAATGATTGGAATGAATGTACAAGAATAGTCTAATATTTAGAAGAATTAATCTATTATGATTGGACGGGAATTCTACAAGAAGTATTTTCTTTTCTTTTATTAGATTCGCCAGTTATTGGCAGGGTCACCGCAACAGCATGACGCCAATTACTGCGGGCCCGTAACAGTCCCTCCCCCCCCCATGAGAGATAGACCACCACACCGGGGACTATGTCCCCTACTCTTTACGAACAGTGTGTGGGTTCTTTAACGTCCCACAGAATTCATATATGCAAGGGTTGTGAGACAGGGCCTACGGTTTATCGTCCTTATCCGAGAAGACTAGAAAGTCTAACCGTTTGCAGATGTCTTTTCAAAGGTAGCACTTTCTCCTCAGTTATTTAAAGACCCTGAGTGTTGGTCCGGCCGGGACTTGAACCCGCGGCCTCCCTCGGCGCTTATCCAACTGAGCTAACTAACCGGGCGGCGGTATGAAGTATATACATTTCTTTGTCCTTTAAATTACAAATTTGGAAACAAATGCATTCGAAAAGTTAACCCTGAAATCTATTTAAGTATGATAGAGATATCAATGTTTATTTAGTGAAATAAACACTTTAAGGGTTATGAATAGACAGCTTACTGCGTTAGGGGAAATTAACACTGACGTGGTATGAACTCTCTTTCTTTTAAAAGCATTTTAGAGTATAACAAGAACGCTCTTAGTAGCGTTGAGTCTCGCTTGCTTGGAGGTGAGTTTTAATGTCAAAGGTCCCGGTGCCGTTATACTACTTTTTCGTTTGGAATACAAAACGAGTGTTGTATGTCATAATGTATATACTCAAAAAGTAAAAATTGCAAGGAGAGACAGACTGCACATCTTAGCCTCAAACCGGTGTGAAACCTTTGAAAACCTTCTACATATTGATATTGCTCCATTGAGGAGTACTCTTTCAGGGATTCTACACTCGAAAAATTGAACGATGATTTTTATCGGTATCAATGGCCCATGATTCTGTCAGTACAAATATACATAGCTTCTTTGTACCGGACCAAGATACGGCTCGGTACAGTATATGTTCAGCACAGGAAAAAAGTGTAAGTTGAACAGAACCTTATACAACACACAGTTAATTCAGTTCGCGCGTATTCCTGCTGAATTTG